TAACTCTCAGCTATTATCTGAAAAGTTTATCTAACGACCATTGTAATGATTATTCACTTTGGTAGTGTACAAAAATTTTTCTCGACCCGCAAATCAGCATCATCCAATCAGAAAAGCAGACTAGACATGGGCCAAGAGCGATATCGAGAAAGCAAATGTTTTTCGGCATACCTTGAAGTGTCTTCAAACCATATGACACATCCAATGCAGCAGAAATGGAACCTCATACTTACGAGAATTAYATCGAAATTCCTCTAATAACTAACGATGAGGTATGTGCAGAAATAAAAAAAAATTAAAGCCTAAAAAGTCGCCTGGGTTTGATCTTATTACCAGTGAAATACTAAAATAGCTTCCTCACAACGTTATATGTAAAATTACTGCCATAATGAATGCTACTATAAATCTTCAATACGTATCCATTTATTGGAAAACTGCAGAGGTGATTATGTTCAATAAACCTGGTAAGCCAGCGCATGAAATTACTTCGTATCGGCCCATATCTCTCCTGCCAATACCCTCAAAACTATTGAAAAAACTGCTTGCTGTGCGTATTAAAAAGATAATTGAAGAGAGGAAACTGATACTGGCGTATCAGTTTGGCTTTCGAAAAARTCACTCCACTATTGACCAAGTACATAGAATAACTCCAGTCATTGAAAATTCCTTCGAAGACCAAAAAGTTTGCTCGGCCGTCTTCTTCGACGTGTCGTAAGCCTTTGATAAAGTTTGTCATGGCGGGCTCCTAAACAAAATTAAAATGATTTTACTAAAAAAATATTACAATATTTTAAAATCATACCTTTCAGACCGTTTTTTTTTTTCGTATTAAACATGGAGATAAGTACTCTGATTTAAAGGAAATAAAGGCTGGTATTCCTCAGGGTAGTGTGTTAGGACCCATCCTTTACCTACTCTTTACATGCGATCTACCACGACAATTATGTTATAGCAACATTTTCAGATGATACTGCGGTTCTGTCTGTCGGCAAAACACAAACTGCATCAATTGCAAGAATGCAGGAACATTTAAACAAAATGTTTCAAAGGACAGCTGTGCAAATACCACATCATAATACCATGAAATATCTAGTCATGACCCTGGACACATAACTTAGATGGAGTGCACATTCAGAAACTTGTATTGGCTATTGGGTAGAAACTCTGCATTATCCATATATWACAAAATTCTAGTCTACAAGCAGGTGTTCAGACCAGTTTGGACTTATGGGATACAACTTTGGGGCTGCTCAAGCCCTAGCATTGCTGCACAAATCCAGCGATTTCAAAACAAAGTTTTAAGGTGCGCCGTCAATACGCCTTGCGAACATATCGCAATCACTATCTTGAACGCGTTCTCGAAATTGACTCAGTTGCTGCATCAATCAAAAAATGTGCAAAGTCTCTTATGGAAAGACTTTCTGACCATGTGAACACTGAAGCCAGGGCTCTTGTCACTCGAAGTGAATGGGAAGAAAGGCTTAACCGCAAAAAATCGTATCACCTTATACAGTAACCAGATTCTCTACAATTTATACGGAGAGCACCATTAATTATTTTGTATTATACAATAAGCAAAACAAATTGTTCGTTAGTTTATTTTATGTTAACTAGTTACAATGCCATTGAAATAAAAAAAAGGCATTTACATCGTTTTCTTTATAGAATTATGTCAATACAAGCAAAATATACTTTTATATCCTCGACGTACTGCATTTCTACCCAGAAGGTTAAGCTTGGGTCCAGTCTTACGTCTAGGTAGTTTATTACTTGTTGTGTTCTAAGAATACCCGTTGTCGGTTGCATGGTTATCTCGAGAGGTATGTGATTATTTGTTAGCAGTAGTAATAGTGTTTGTTTCGTAACGAGCTGGAGTTTGTGTGAGTCGAGCCAAGATTCCTGATTACACCTTCTTCGTGCTTCTTCTGTGTCTCTTGCTGTAATTACTGCTGCAATGTCATTCGCGTAGCCAGTTAAGCACGATTCGTGAAGCCAAGCAATGCAAAGCAGGAAAAAAAAGCTGAAGCACGCCAATCGACGGTAGCAAAAAGAAACAAGTAAGGAAGAGTAAGTAAGTTCAGGAATCAAAGGAAGAAATATACTTTAAAATGTAAAAGGTCAACCTGAGGATCGAAATCCAAGGAATTTTATATACTAAACTATATATAACTCACAATCTGACAGACGCATAACTTTTGATAGAAAACCGAAAATCATTATATAATATTATATATAGTATATGGAAGTTGAGGTAGTATTGACCAAATTGAATCTATTTTTCCCAATACCACATACTGTTAACATGTCGCACACTACAAAAATAATCAAATAGATAAAGGCATACGGATATTCGAAAATCATTAATATTAGTTATTTTGGGGGTATTTCAAGTTTTCGCTCAAATTTATTTAATTTGGCACAAAGATACACTGTTGTGAGTAACAAGSTGGCTCATTTTCATGAAGATAACTACATATTGGCCGATGTGTGCGGTACAAAGTCACCAGGTAGTTAGATTACCTTCATATTAAATATATGGGGACTAAACGAACCCCGTGACGCATGAAAAAAATGCCACGTACCAAATTTTTACGAAATCGGTCAGTCCCTAGATATGGGAATTCACCAAAAAGTGGGCGGTGCCACGCTCATTGTGAAATTTTCACACTGGCTTCCATAAAGCTTTCTCATACTATCTTGACAGTAATTTTTTACGTCTCTGACGCATTTAGCTATTGATTTATCGCGCTTTTAGTAGTTTTGAACAGTACCGTTATATGGGGAGTGAACGGGGTTTTCATCCGATTTCACACTATATTGGTTTTTGTAGCTAAAGCGGCTTAGGAGATATGCACATTAAACTTATTAGAGGGTGGCGCCAAGCCAACTTTTCTAAAATTTTTCTCTTACAGGTGCAATTTCCTACTGCGATCCCCTGTGCAAAAAATGAGTTTTATACCTTAATTAARTACTTAGTTACGGCACTTTATAGGTTTTCTGTTAATGACCATTTTTGGGCGCGGCAGCGGTCCGATTACGCCCATCTACGTACCAGGAAACCTGCATACCAAGTTTCATCACGATATCTCAATTTTTACCCAAGTTGCAGCTTGCACGGACGGACAGACAGTAAACCGCATTTCAACTTTTCTCGTCACGCTGATCACTTATATGTATATAACAGTTGGTGATACGAACCGTTAGGTGAACAAAACTATAATACTTTGTAGCAACTGGGTGCAAGAGTATAAACATGTGAGGAAATACGCGAGGATATAAACAGGATTTGGGTATATAATAGTAATGAAGAAATTCGGTGCTCGAGCAAAGCGGCTGAACCGCAGTCAAAGTGTATCACATTGTAAACGCACTATTCCACACACGAAAAAAGGCGCTCCAGAACACACTTTAAGAACTCCGCAAATTCCTCAGTTAATCGTTGAAGAGCTGCAACTAGCCACTGGCAAGCTTAAGGCCAACAAATCACCCGGTCCGGACGGCATCGCAGCAGAAATCATCAAAATAATCGCTGCAGAGCGGCCGGCAGTACTACTGAATATGTTGCTACCTTAGCAACAAAAAACTGCTTTACCAAACTAGAGAGGGATGACGACAAATAGCGGTCACGTCAGAAGCACCAGAGGGATCCATGGTAGTCCAAGACTTGTGGAACATCAGCTACGACGAAATATTAAAACTTGAAATGTCAGACGAATCGTACTTAATTGGCTACGCGGATGAMATTGCAGCAGTAATTACAGCAAGAGGCACAGAAGAAGCGCGAATAAGGCTTAATCACGAGGCTTGGCTCGACTCACACAACCCCCAGCTGTCTAATAATCACATACCTCTCGAGATAAGCATGCAACCGACTACGGATATTCTTAGGATACAAAAAGTAATAAACTACGTAGACGTAAGACTGGACCCTAGACAAACCTTCTGGGTACAAATGCTGCACGTCGCAGGAAAGGCAGCGAAGATCACTAGGCCCCGCCAAGAAAAAAGAAAGCAGTATCAGGTGATACAATATTAGTAACAAGCGGTAGTGTCCCAATTGACGTTCTAGCATGGAATGGAAAAAAAAAGAAAATATCTGATAATAAAAATAGCGCAATAGAATAGAAAAAGAACACAATATCAACATGGCAACAAAGGTGATTTTACACAACCCACCTATTATCCGGTTACGGCTTCAAAAGTACACAGAATGGGAAACGTTGATGAGCCATCACGCCTATACAACGACGTGACAGAAGACGATGCTGAAAACACATTCAATGTTCGTTGGCAGCGATAATGCACCACCTAGATGAACTGCGCCACCTAGATGAATCGCGCCGGTTAATTTTGGCTCACCGTACCTAAACGAGAGAACCAAATGGAAAATTTTAAACACGTATGTATGCTTAAATTATCGAACTTTGTTTTAAAACATATTTTATAAAAATCGGTTCACAAATTTTTCCACAAATTCACTTTAAAAAATGTTTTTTTTTTTGCAAATTTCTAAATATATGCTAGTGTATTTTCATCTGTTGTGCATTGTACCAAACCAATTATGGATACATTTTCACGCACATATGGATGTGGATATGGATAGCCCGCCACACCCCCAGCCGCCGCTGCCCGCCCCCCCTCCCCCTTTTTCTTCTCCATAAACGGTACTTAACCGGCGCGATACTAAACAATCCCCTTTAAAATAGCTTGCTTTTTCATAAAACGGAATCGAGTAATCTTTCGATTTCTTACTATCTAATTCTAAAATATGAATAAATCATTTTTGTTAATTAATACTAACACATATTATATTGTGTACATGAAAGAGTAGTGTAACCAGGTGTCCTGCACAGTATACACCTCTTCATACAGTAACTATAAGTAGGAACCGTCATAAGTGTCATTCTAATTTTATTTATACATACATATTTATATCTTTGTATATATACATATGTATGTATGTATATAAAGATATTGTGTGTAAAAACAAGCGAGAATACATAATTATTTTTGATTCCAGTGGGTGTGATATGTGATTACCTCTTAGTGCGCAGAGCAGTCATTGCATCATTCACAGAATTCAATTAAAGTAATGTGGTCGATTGCCAACGGAGAAAAATTTAAAGTAAAAATCAAAACAACTCACTGAAGAAAATAGTGTGCAAAATAGTTGCGTTTGTTGTTTCTGAGTATTTAGCATTTTAAACAAGTTCGCTTGAAAAATACAGGAAAAAAGACGTGGGACAAATTTACTTCCATTATTTCTTCAAAATAGATGCGATCATATCATCAATGTAATTGTATTTCGTTGCTTAGTTGCATAATTTTTGCGCGTTTTCATATTGAAAAAATAAAAAATAGTGTTAAAAAAACATATAGTAGTTCAAAATGCATATTCATCCAAGTTCGTCTGAATCTAATTTTGACCAACTAATTCAGAGGGAAGAAATCGCAGCCATCAAAATACAAGCTGGATTTCGTGGCTACCGTGTAAGAAAGCAGATGCAAAATCAATCACAAATCAATGCACCGAATTGCTATATACAGGAAAGACAGCGGCAGATGTCAGATCCATTGCAAGTAAATATAGGAAATAACACAATATTACAAAATATTAACACAASCGCAAATGAAAATAGTTCTAAATTAGGAGTAGAAATAACTACAAAGGAAGATCAATGCGCTACTACAATACAAGCAAGTGTACGTGGTTTTTTGGTGCGAAAGAAACAGAAAATTGCAATAGATGCGGCAACAAAAATACAAGCAAGCTTCCGAGGTTTAAAAGCGCGGAAAGAAGCACAACACTTGAAACAGAAATAAAATTAACCTAGTGTAATAACATAATGAGTGCTAATTACCTGTAAAATTGACATATGTATGCTCTTTTAATTACTTTCTCAATATACTTATGTTCTTAAATTTTCTTAAACGGTTATTGGAAAAARATATTTATTCATAATCTGAGCATAAAACATAATTGTTCTGACCATAGAATATTCAGTGCTTTTTACGCTGTTAGCGATATTTTTGCTTTTCATTCACTTAATTGCTGTCTTTGTTGCTAATAATGCCAGAAAAAGTTATTATTGAGGTATTTCATTTGTAAGCATAGATATACAGAATTCTATGCAGGTATGGTATAAGTTACAACATTCATTTGTAAATCTACATACATACATATGTACTATGTAGTGTAAATGAATTAATAGAGTGTTTGTACCTTCCAATTATGCGGTCTTGAGAAATTAGAAATCATGATACAAATCCAAAGGCTTACAACTAATTTTCCGCTTTGCCATAATTTCGTGTTTACAAAAATTATTAATCATCAAAATACTTATATTTTCCTATTGGTAGAATTAAAATAAGGTTGTGAAATTTTAGGAACATTTGTAATTACTAACAACATTAAGCTATTAAAACATTATGAATACTTATATGTCAGTATGAATAGTTAAGTTTCCCCATACAGTAATAATATTGCATTTATTTAATGTAAATCTAATTATATATTCATAAATGAGATAATAAATTATAATGGTAACTGTTGGAASAATTGTTTTGAATAAAAGATATGTATGTATGTACTCATTTACAAACATTATTGAACATGGACAGATTTAAATGTAAATGGAAAGACAAACCGTTACTTTAAAGAGAATACACTGTGTACATTACTAAAATTTCATGCAACTGCCTTGTCAAGAAACAAAATAGTTCGTATACTCAAACGACTTTTTAAAAGTCAAAAATAAGACATTTTCCCTATTCAGTGGATATTAAAAACCTATTGATTATAAGTTATATAATGGATTACGGTAATAAATATTACATAAAACAAGAAAAAACGTTAATTTCGGCTGCACCGAAGCAAATATATCCTTACCAGGTGCATTTCTTTTAGTAATTATGTGTTCAGTTTATATGGCAGCTATATGCTATACTAAGCCGATCTGACCGATTTCTTCGGAGATTATATTGTTGCTTTAGAAAACAATCCATACCAAATTTCGTGAATATATCTTGTCAAATGCAAAAGTTTTCCATATAAGAACTTTTTTCCGATCGTTCAGTTTGTATGGCAGCTATATGCTATAGTAAGCCGATCTGAACAATTTCTTCGGAGATCACATTAGTGCCCTAGAAAATAACCTGTGCCAACTTTTGTGTAGATACATTGTCAAACTAAAAGTTTTCCATACAATAACTTGATTCCGATCTTTCAATTTGTATGGCAGCTATATGCTAAAGTTAACCGATCTTAACAATTTCTTCGAACATTACATTGTTGCAGTGTTTAAAAATATTTGCTTTATTGCAATATTTTTGCTTTTCACCGCTTCGACTACGAGCGACTTCTTAAAATGAACAGTTGTTTCTGCTTTTGCTTCTGAAGAAAACAGAAGCCGCAGTCGAAGCAAAAGCAAAAAACGATCGCCGACGAAAAGCGAATCAGCAGCAGCAGACGCCGTGTAAATATGGCGCAAAGTGATATTTACTTATTTTACACAAAATAAATTTAAATGCTGCAAGGGTTGAACAGTCGTCAAATTCCTCCATAAAATTAAAAAAAAACTTTAGAAAAAAAAAATTTAAGTGAATAAAAAACAACTGCTGATGTCATATATTGGATTGGTGACTGAAGACAGGGCACAATTCCGATTTCTTTGGCGCTCTCCTGATTAAAAATATATAGGGTTATAGGTACCGCAAACGCTTAGTTTAGGAGATATTCGACCTTTCTGAAGTTACTTGGCCAGATTACAGTGGCAACATTGAATTTAGTGCTTCCCACTTTAATAGAACTATTTTAAACTTGTTTGAAAAATATGTTCCGAAGTGTGTTGTTACTCATAAAATGAGTTATAATTTATGGTTTTCGAAAAAATTATGTAAATTAAAAAATAGAAAATCTCGTGCTTTTAAACTTTTTTAAAAAAACTGGTTTAGTTGCTGACTATTCAAAATATTCTAAATTGCGCCGACAATTTGCTGAACTTAGCAAAATATGTTATAATAATTATATAAATAAAGTAAAAAATAATATTATACGTAATCCAAAATTGTTCTATGGTTTCGTCAACTCCAAACCCAGGATTTCTAATTTTCCGTCCGCTATGAAATATAAGTCTAGTACGTCCAGTGACAATCACACCATTTATAATACGCTCGCTGAATTCTTTAGGTCCAATTACTCTCCAAAATCTTCAAAAAATGTTCCGAATCAGCACAAGTTATGCCCGATTTCTGTCATTAATGCACCTACCATTTCCGAAGCAGACGTCTTATATCAGTTAAATATATTAGAACAATCATACAATTATGGCCCAGATATGATTCCCTCGTGCTTTCTTAAGAAATGTGCCAAATATATATATCAACACCTAACAAAACTATTTAATTCATCTCTTATGCAAGGCTTATTTCCATCCATATGGAAAAAGTCRTTTATAATTCCTTTGCGTAAGAGTAGATTTAGGTCATCCATTGAAAACTATAGGGGAATAGCAAAGTTGTCTGCAATACCTAAACTTTTGAAGCAATTATAACAGACGACATAACCTTCCGGATCTCTCCACTAATTTCTTGTTCTCAGCACGGTTTTCGCAAAGGGAAATCCACAATAACTAATTTGCTTGAATTTGTATCACATGTATCAACGGGCTTTAGGGAGAATAAGAATACTGATGTTATATACACAGATTTTAGTAAAGCTTTTGATAAAGTAAACCACTCAATTTTTTTGAATAAACTTGATCTTCTTGGTTTTCAACCAATATTTCTAAAATGGGTTGCTTCTTATCTTAGTAATAGAATTCAACAAGTCATATTTAACGATACTCTTTCCGACATAATCAATGTTCCTTCAGGTGTTCCTCAAGGTAGCCTTCTTGGTCCAATTCTGTTCTTGTTATTTATTAATGACATATCATCTGTTGTTAAGTTTTCAAACGTCAGCATATAAGACGATGTAAAACTTTTTAAATCATTCACCTCAAATAGTGAAAGATGTCAGACTTAAATAACCTAGTTTCTCGGTGTGATAGAAATGACTTGCCATTGAATCTTAAAAAATGTAAAACGATGTGCTTTTCACGTAGATTTGTAGACCCTACTTCATACGTAATACAAAACTTACGGTTGGACCAAGTATGCAGTTTTGTTGACTTGGGAGTAACTATGGACCCCAAACTCAATTTTAATCTTCACACATCTTCCATGGTTTTTAAAGCTAAAGGAGCTCTTGGTTTTGTTAAACGTTGGTCTAAAGAATTTAGAGATCCGCTTACCACAAAAATTCTTTTTACATCTTTGGTGAGGCCTATATTAGAGTATGCTTCAGTGGCATGGAACTCTTTTTATCAAGTTCATTCTGAGAAACTAGAGTCCGTTCAAAAACTTTTTTTTACTTTTTGCCTTAAATCATTTGCATTGGGATTCCAATTTAAATCTTCCCCCTTACTCTAACCGTTTAAAACTTATAGATCTCCCTACACTCGCTAGTCGTAGGGAAATGCTTGGTATAATATTTCTCGTAAAACTCATCAATGGGTCAGTCCGTAGCCCACCTTTCTTGTCTGATATTAATTTTAACATTCCCGCTCGCTCTACCAGGCAGTTTAAACCTTTGCTTTTAAAATTTTCTAGAACAAATTTCGAGTTAAACGAACCATTCCTGAACCTGAGCAGCTTAAGATCGCAACGCTTAAAACTCTCTTGCCTTTTATGACTCGGCTAATTCCGCTCGTTCGCGGATTACGCCCCTCGCGTCGGTTGGGCGGGAGGAGTGTAATCGTTGGGTATTTTTATTATTATTATTACAGTTCAAAAATTCGAAAAATTCGTACATTCGAGACCACATTAAACACACTTTATTCACATTTTTCACTTCAAATTAATTAAATTACACTATAAACTTGTAAATAACTCCATATCTTACACTTTTAGCATGTTTTTTACCTAAAAAACCTGAATTTAAAAAATTTCCTTTTACACTCGTTTTAACCCCATTTGCTTACCAAAAATTAAGACGAAATGGAGCGCCGCCATGTGATGATAAGGCAATTCGCTGAAATTCCTCTTTTTCGCAAAAATTCCTCTATTCATGCGTATGGATATTTTCTTTTTTAAATTTATTAAGCAAATAAGTAATATTATATACATGTATTAGTAATATTATATAATAATATTATATAATAATATTACGTAATAAAGTGCAAAGTTTATTAGTACAATACGAAAATTCAAATTTCGTTCAATATGTGTGCATGGTAACCAACAAATATAACCACTTTATTTTATATTTTAAATATAAAAATTGATGTATCGTCACCTAAAATACAAAACAATGTATAATCAAAAATAAATGGAAATCGCTGACAGATACAATAACTAAATTTTATCCATTTTATAACGAAAACTCAAATTTTGTTTCAATATGAGTGCATGGTAACCAACAAATATAACCACTTTAACCACTTTATAACAAAAACTCAATATATTTTTTTATTTTTAGCGCAGAAAGGAGTACTACGCGAAAGTACTTCAGTCCCCCCGGGTATTCGCTCGCCCAGAGTTATTTTTTTAAAGTACTTCAGTCATCCCGACATGATATTATATACATTTTATAATACTATATTATCATAGGGTTTTAATTATATGTGTTTATTAAATATAAATCAGATATTATACATACACATACTATATGTAAAATGTATAATATGTGGAAAAAGTTTTCACAACTCAATTAGAACTTAAAAAAGAAAAAGAAAGTATTTTTTATTATAATTAATGTAGAAAAAAGAATCACGCAAAAAAACAAACAAAGAAAAATCCTTAAGAATCCAACATATTTGGTGTTTAAGATGTGGTAACGCTCGTTTTCCTCATAATTGTAAACAATCTAACCTTTGCAACGCCGAGTTCGCTAAGTGATTTTTAAATTAATAAATTTAGGTGAAATATTACAAAATATGTAAAATTGAAATGTGAACTTATTTCAATGTTTAGAGTGTATATTTAAATATACAGAGTGAAAAACGTAAATAAATTTAATGGAAGATAGAGAAATACCTTATGTTATTAGTGCATATTTTTGAACTTTTACTCGTGAAAATTTTAAAAAATATAAGTAATTTTTATATTATTTTTAGATATTCCTCCGCTGGAGAAGCTCCCCTATCCGGATATACCCCATTTATACGGAAATTTGGTTTTTTTACCTCTCCCCCAAAGTAATCGGAATCCTGTCGAAGACAGCATTCCATTCAACGTCTTAAATTTCGAAAATATGCGAAATATCATTGACCCAATTTGTAATGGACTTAAAGACGCTGACGGAAAAAAAAAATTACGTTAAATGCATCAAACTGCAAAAAAAACTGTGCAAACAGTAGCAAACAATGTAAAAGAAGATATAACCACTGAAGTGGCAAATAAATTATTGTCTCTAAAAATAGACAGTGCCACGCGGCTGGCAAGAAACATTTTTTTCATAAGTGCTCAATACATTAGTTCAGCTCAAATAAAATCCATTATATTGGGCATGGTAGAGATTAAAGGTGTTGGATCGAGCACAGCCAAAAATCTCGCCGCTGAAGTGCTAAAAGTCCTAAATAAATATAATATAAACTTAAGCCAAATAGTGTCAATTACATCTTACAAAGGTGCCAACATACTTAAGACAACAAATATATTATCATTTGTTTTCGAAGAAAATCTTGGCGAGGACGACGAATATTGCTCAAACGATGAATATTCAAAAATAATTGAAAATATTGAAAAATTGCCAAACGTGTTAACAGGGAATATTCAAGTTTGTCGTTGTGCTGCACATACAGCTCAAAAACTTCAAATGGATTTCGCGAAATATTCGAGCTGAAACAGGTAAAAATGCCGCAACTACATTGTCTGACCAGATGGGGATCCACCTATACGATGCTAAAGGATTTGTTAGTGGCTAAAGATGAATTAACTGAAATTGAGTCAACTGAA